CACCTCCACATGTGGCTGCAGCAGGTGGACAGCAGAGATACCCTGGCTGGCAGAAGAAGTGACTGGATGACCCAGGCAGCCTGGGAAATGCTAGCATGCTGGGGTGAAATCAATCCTAGTCTTGCCACTGCTTCAAATGTGTGGGAGAGAATGACGTGTTATATTTGTAAATGTATTAGTCACTTAACATCTCTCATAATGCTTGAAGCTGTTCTTTGTGGTGAAGGAAACAATCTCTTTTTAAAGCTCTGCATTGAGTCTGCAGAATTCTAAGAAGGCTCAAGCTAGGAAGGGCAATCCCAACATTTCAGAGTGGAGCCTTGCTTTCTAGGAAGTAATGATGTGCTGCTCTGTTCAACTAATTATATCCCACAGTCAACCCATTTCCTTAAGGCTCGACTGAGTCCATCAAATTCTATTCTGTCTCATCAAGCTCCCTCTTCCCTCATTCTTTGTCACTGGTACTAATCAGTAATATTAGATTACTGCAATGCAGTGTATGTGGATCTGACCTTCAAGATGACTTGGAAAATGCAGGTAATGCAAGATACAGCAGCTAGACTGCTGACTGGAAGATCACACAAAACCCATATAACATTCATTTTAAAATTGCCACAGGACTGCCAATATGCTTCTGGTCTGAATTCAAGGTGCTGGTAATAGCATTTAAAGCTCTAATCAACTTGAGACTTTGATATGGAAGAGAATGCTTCTCCTAACATATGCCTGCCTAAAATGTGAGATTTACTGGAAGATCTATGTCCCATCACTCAGAGCAATATGCTGATGGAGGATGCAGGAGAGGGCCTTCTCTCCTGTGGTACCCCAGTTCTGGAATACTATCCCTTTAGTGACCTGTTTGGCACCTACATTGTTATCATTCTAGTACCAAGTGAAAACATGGTTGCCTTTGGAGTCTGTCTGCTTTAATAGAGATCCACACACATGCATGCTTTTGCATTATTTTACAGTACTTTAAGTGGTTTTAACTTGTTTTCTTTTAACTTGTTAAAATGGTTCTGTATGTTTGTGGCCTTTTAAAATAATTCTTACTGCTTACACAGTTGAAGGTGATCATTCTTGATTTTATTGTTTGGTGACCTGATATCTTTAGATAAAGGGGGTGGGTGGGTCAAAATATGTAAATAAATATATTAATAGATAAAGAAACTGGCCAGAACTCACTGAGATCATTGTCCTCTTTTTCTTTTATAGAGCTGCTGTTTTTGAGCTGTGTGTGAATGTGAATGAAGGTGGGTCAATAGTTCAGTCCAAGGAGAATCCACAGAAGATGAGATGGATCCTTGATTGTTGTCGTGTATATAGTGCTGTATATATTCTTTAGTAAAGTTCTGTAAATAGAACTTGGAGACTCTGGGGGGTTGCAGACTGCCAGAAAAAGTGCAAATTCAGTCCACTTTTAGGGTTAGGGTTAGGGAATCATGGGAATTGTAGTTTATTGTGGCACTAGAGCTCTCTGACAGAGAAGGCTCAATGTCTCAGAAAAAAAAACAATTCCCATGATTCCCTAGCTCTAACCCTAACCCTAAAAGTGGACTGAATTTGCACTATTTCTGGCAGTCTGCAACCCCCCTCTGAGTATTTCTTTTGCACCTTGTGCAGATCCAGATTCTACCAGCACTGCAGAGCCCAGCAGAGAAGGACCAGGAATAGTGCAGAACTTTTTAAAAAAATCCCCAAAGCAAGGATTGGGCAACTCGATGGCTCATGGGACCTTTTATTTATTTATTTTTGCTTGTGGGAGTCTTTGGAATTTGCACAGACTGCTATAAATAAAAAACAAAATGTAAAAAATATTGTTTAAAAACCCAAGATAGAAATTAATTTCTTAATGTTAAATGGGGAAAGGCTGTGGCCCATTTAAAAGTTTACTTACCACTCCTGGACAATTCTAAGAGAGGCAATTTGCCATTTTGGGGCCAGAAAAAAGGCAATTCAGAGAGTCTTGAGGGACTAAGGCAGGGGTAGGCAACCTTTCCCCTTTAAGGGCCAAGGGCCTTCAGCTCCCAGAAGCCTCAGCCATGTTGGCCAATAGTCCCATGTTAGCCAATAGCTCCTGGGATTCTGGGAGCTGAAGTCCCTCGGCCCTTAAAGGGGAAAGGTTGCCTACCCCTGGACTAAGGGCTGCAAAAGCAGACTTGGGGACCACATGTAGCCTCACAGCAATACTTTGTTGACCCTTCCTGTAAACAAAGCAAAAGAAAAAAAGAAAAAAGAGTCCTCCTACTTCATTCCATTGCAAATGGCTCCAGCCAAGGATACCCTGGTATTAGGACTCCCCTGTGGCTATAGGTAAAAAGGGTTGAAACCTCATGGTCATGCTGGCAAGGGATGGTGGGAGGTGTAGTGCAATAATATCTGGGGAATGAAGCCTGGCAAATGTATAAAGAAAAAGCAAAGGAAAGAATAAACAAGTTATTTTCTTCAGACACATTGCGACAAGTAATAGAAATGCAAATCTGTGGCTTTTTCAAAATCTTGTTATCAGTGGATAAAAGATAACTTGGCTATTCTGATAAATTGTCCCATCCTATACTGTCAGTAGAGACCTACAATTTAGTTTTATGATGGTAGTTCTCAATTAGTATGCTAATAAATGTTTATGAGATCACTCTGCATAAACTATAAATTTTTACATGTTATTAATTAACCTTATGCATGGGAAAGGGAATTCCAGAGGTATAGAATTTGCTGTAAATCAAGCTACGTTGCTTTTGGTACTATCTAGTCTTTCATGTTTTTTTAAAAATGTGAACAGCTTAAATTCAAAACTAGTCATCACTGCATCAGTTTGCATTTATATTTTATCAGGTTTTATTGCCTTTTGCCTAAGGTTGGCCAAAATAATGATTTATAGCATACACATGGATTGCTGGATCCATATTTGCCTGGAGCAAAACTTTGCTAGCTGGTTGCTAGGACAGAAGACATGGGAGGTCAATTCTACTGATTCCTGCTTCTCCCTGTAGCTCTCTCATAATCTGCTATAGAGATCAGAAGGGCTGTATAGAATGGTATGAGAGGTCACACTGGTGGCTAAAGTGGAAAGGAGAAACTGGTAACATTTACTTCCCTGCTTCCTCCAGTATTACCCCCCACCATCGCCCAAGTTCCTCATCTTCTCACTTACAAAAAGAAGTAGGGTGGTGCTACCTATTGCTGAATACAGTTCACTACCTTGGTTCCCAGCATAAGGGCACATAATAGTCAGAGGTTACATTGGGAAGATCTGTTTTCTGTATACTTTTTGTGTGTGAGATGGGGAAGAGGAGAAAAATAATTTTTTTTGAAGAAAATAATGCTTCATGTGCTGGTGAGTTCCTCTACCCAATTAAATTCTTTATAAATGCACAGACATATAATTTCTTAGTGGAAGAAATGGTAAAAGAAACACATTGACTATTTGGATACCCACCTGCTGTCACCTGAATAATCCTGCCCCCTTAGAACAATATTGACTGCCTGGAATTATGAGGAGAATATGGTCTTTAGTTTATATATTTTAGAACTAAAATAGATGCTATACTAAAATTAGAAGGCACATTTCATTTCATTTTGGGGGCTTAATTTTTAAAAAGTTCTTAACATATACATCTTCTTTTTTCTGCTTCCTTGAATTATCTTGGGATGAAGGAAAATGATCTTATCCACACAAACACACACCCTTTGTTAAAACTGCTTGGATTATGACAAGATTTTCACACGCATCATGCTACCATGTATTGTAGGATCCCATGATCCACTTCCCTGTTCAATGTGGTATTTATTCATGCAGTTTTGATGACCTAATGCTGGTGATGTTGTCTTCTCCATCTTGGTTTGTCAAATTTTCACCTCACAGATATTTCTGTTTTAGTGTCCGAAGTGGAAGACAGATGTTGTAGAGGAGATAACATACTTCACTATGGACAAAGCAAAGCAGCTTCATTTATATACCCCTTCATACCACGCTATGCAGTGTCTAAGTGGTTTACAACTGTAAGCTCATTGCCCCCTAACAGTTGGGTACTCATTTTAGTGACCTCGGAAGGATGCAGGCCTGAGTCAAGCCTGAGCCCTGGCTAGTATTGAACTCACAACCTTGTGGTCTATGAGTGAGTGGCTGCAGTACAGGCATTTACCACTGCACCACAAGGGCTCCTGGCAAGAGTGCTGTAAGAATGTATACACGGTTAATAGCTTATTAAATATGAAGGCATTCATTGCTGAGAGAACTTGTGTATCTATAAATGTGATAGAGCTACAACTCTTGTTATGACCTGTATCCACCTACCCTTCAACAGAGCTGTAGTTCACCAGGTACAGTTATTCCATTTTAATGCCAGCAAACCCCACTTCCACTGAATGTATAGCCTTGATGCATCTGTTAAAGACACATGGACTTTACACAGAAAAAAAAGGTGGCAGGTATTATCTTGGCAAAGATAAATACTATGCACCCAGTTTTCAGATTTCCACACTCCATCATTATTGGCCAAGTTAAGTGAGATTGATGGAAGGTGCAGCCCACAATCTCTGGAAGGCATCAGATTGGAAGTATGTTGAGATGAAGGATAAATTCATTCCATTGAAAACATTTGGAGCACAGTTGTATCTAAGGAAACTTATTCATGTATGGAGGCCCAAAGCATTCAGTCAAGATACTAGACCTAGGAAAATATGAGCAACAGATTCCTGACTCTCACATCATATTTTTTGTGCCTGAAGAAAATCAGCACATCAGTCTTGTTTTAAAACAATAAAGTTCAATGATGAACTGATATACTGGTAGGTCTCAGACTTATGCAGTGAATAGCAAGCTAGACCAGCTTTCATTGTACGCTGTTCATTATAAACACAAGGCCACTGGTGACTTTCTCTCCAGAATGTTGAAGATAACCAGTCAACAGCTGTACAATCATGAACATGAAATTAGGGGAGACTCAAAGGTAGTCCCTGTTGGTTTTCTTCTCAGTGGATTGGTACAGTCTTTGGGAACAGCCAGTGTGGTATAGTGGTTTGAGTGTTGGACTATGACTCTGGAGATCAGAGGGTTCAATTTCCTGTTTGGTAATGGAAACCCACTGGGTGACCTTGCCTGAATGACACATTCTCAGTCCCAGAAAACTTAGAGTCAGCATAAGTTGGAACTTGAAGGCATACAACAATAACAACAGCTCCAGGTGTAATGCTTTTTTTAGTAGTAAAATCATTTTAGTGCTGTCATCTACATTGCTGCATGATTGTTGTTATGTACGGTATCTTGTTTTGAGGTACATGAAAAAAAACCAACAACTGTTGCTTGGCAATGAGTTTCACAGGTTTATGAAAATAACAGTGATGACTGCTGGCTCCCATCTCAGTGGGGTGGTGAATCCACTCTGGAACTTTACATAAACTATTAAAGGTGCTGAATCTATTTTGTAGATTGGGTTTAACACCTTGAATAGCTCTGAAGTGTGTTCACTGTTCTGCTAATATGGAGGCCATCAGTACAAAAAACCTGCTCCCTGAATCCTTAGAATGTGTTTTCCCACTAGGGATTGAACTTGACCACAAGTCCCAACATCCCTCTGTGTGTGTGTGTGTGTGTGTGTGTGCGCATGAGAAAGAGAGAGAGTGACTCACAGAGATAGACAAGAGAGATTCAGATGTTTCCTTTTGCATAAGATGCAAAAACAGGTAGCAGCATAGTCCAAACCTATTTTCTCTCTGATGCTTTAACTTCAGATGTTTTAACTAGTTAGGAAACAAGTAGCCTTTGTTCAAAGCACTCTGAATGTTTGCATCCAGACACCTTCTGTGCTGAAGGAAGGAAATGCACACACCTCTTTCTTATGCATACCTCCCTTTCTCCAAATACCTTATAAATTTTTTGAAAGTTAGAAATTTCTCATCAATGGAAGACAGCTGTTTTGCAAATAATACAACTCTTTAGGACAGGCAAAAAACCCTGTTGTGTAAGTTTTCTTGAGAAATTTAATTTAAACACTATAAATGGAAGACAGGCTTCTCTTTTGGTTCTCAGATTTCTCCTGTGTCCACAGTAAAATGTAAAAAGAAAAAAAATCCAATTCTTCTGAATTCCATTATAGAAGAAAGCTGAGGTTAAGCTATTTAGTCTAAAATATAATTGAATTGCTGGGGCACATTAAATGTTGAAATGTTTAAAGCAGAGATGGAGAAAATAATTTAATGATGTTCTCTTTATGATAGTTAATTAGCCTGCCATGTATGAAAGTGTAACAAGAACACCACCTACTGTAAAAGTGAATGTTCTACACTCAGGATGCTAATTTATTCATGTCTGCATAAAGAGGAGAGACCAAGATTTTTAACCCCTTTATGGCTAATGCTTTTGGATGGTGTCTAAAATGAATGCTGGAGATGTTTCTTTAATACATCATGGTGGCAAAGTAACAATCTACATAAATGTGTTGGGCTTATGATGTGCTTAAATATAGTCTGGACTGATGTAGTTTGAACTGATAACAATTTACATTAAGAATAAATCTTGGTTGATCTCTATCAACATGATAATCAAAGAAGGTAAAGGCACAGAAAAGAAAGATCCATATTTTTACCCCATTTTTATCCCACTAAGGTACCTTTTAATATTGTTATCCCATTAAGGTACCTTTCTGGAAGAGCTGAAACAATAGTTAGGTCTTTAAAATTTATTTTAACCTTATTATGCCCCCAGTTTCTGTTGCAGCATATGCTAGATGTCATCCATACTGACAGCCCCAGAACTGGGGCTTGGGACATGCATTGTCCCAACAGGATGACATCAGAATTGGGGAAGGGGGAACAGGTGTTTTGCTTCATGCAGACAAGTCCTCAGTGTTACATTTCAAAATAAAAATATGATTGAATTTCCTGTTTGTGAATTCACAATTTAATTCAGTTCCAATTGATGTTGTTTTCCTCAAAACAAGAAAAGGTTATGGTTTTGGTTTTTCTTTTAGAGATTTTAGTAAATCTAAAAGAAAAACAAAACACCAAACCAGTCCGGATGATATCTGGCATGTCCTGCACCAGAAACTGTTGGCATAACAAGATTAAATGAATTTTAAAAAACTTAACTATTGCTTCAGCTCTTCTGGAAAGATCTGGAGTCCTTGGTTTCCACATAGCACTGGCTGTCTGCATGGGCATCCCACTAGGCCAGCTGATGCATCTCCTGCCACTGTGGGCTATTCATTCTGAGGTCAGAACAAGCCACCTGGCATGTGATCACTGGGTTCCTCATTTTGACTTCAAAAATGAGCACCCCACAGGGGCAGCAAATGTGACAGCCCAGTGGAACACCCATTCAGACAGAAGTGGGTGCTGAGGTAAGGGCAAGTATGAGGCTCTTGGGGTAACCTATCCAGTGCAGACAAGACCTGAGTCAAGCTTAAGGCTTGTTATTGACCCATTACTAGGTTAAATCCATGGGCTCCTTCACACTACACAGTAATAGCACTATGATTCCACATTAACTGCATGGCTGTATTCTATGGAATCCTGATGTTTGTAGTTTGTGGAAGTATTAGAGCTCTCTGGTTGAGAATTCTAAAGGCTCCTCCCTAAATTGCAAATGAGCCAGCATGGTGTCGTGTTTTAAGTAGTGGACTATGACTTTGGAGACCAGGGTGTGAATCCCTATTCATCCTTGGAAACCCACTTGGTGACCCTAGTCAAGTCACACTCACCCAGCCTCAAAGGGAGGCAAAGGCAAACCTCCTGTGAATAGATCTTGCTAAGAAAACACCATGACAGGTTTGCCTTAGGGTCATCAAAAGTCAGGAATGACTTGAAGGCACACAAAACCAACCATAAATCTGCAAATCCTAGGATGCTATAGGATAAGGCCAGGGTAGTTAAAATGAAATCGCAGTACTTTCATTGTATAGTGTAACAGGGGTAGACAAGGGCCGAGGGACTTCAGCTCCCAGAATCCCAGGAGCTATTGGCCAACATGGGACTATTGGCCAACATGGCTGAGGCTTCTGGGAGCTGAAGTCCCTCAGCCCTTAAAGGGGAAAGGTTGCCTACCCCCCGAAAGATCCACTGGATCTGCCTTCCCTGGACAGGATGTTTCCAGTTACTAAAGGTGTTTCCACCTAAATGTGGATGAATCTTCTTTTGCTTCACAGCTCTCCATCCAGAGGTCTGCACAGCATTTACAAGTGGGCTGGAAGGATGCCATCAATAGGAAAAGGTGAGGAGGTCTTCTGCCAACTCAACAGCATGTGACTATTCTGGATTCAACCCAAAGTGAAGAATTATTTTGCCAAAGTCCAGTATTTTGCACCCTGTATTTTAAGTTCCACTGTTTTAGGGCCAAACTAGACTCTGGATTGAATTCAGTTATTAGTCCAACATGAAAGAGATTAATTGGATTAATAGTTAACTAGTAAGTAGAAATGTAAGTAAGCCTTATTGATTCAATGGGTCTACTCTAGTTAGGGCTAGCAATGGGAATCAGGTTATTACATTATTCATGTATTTAGTCATTCTGCCAATACTGTGCAAATATTTTTAACAGTAAACACCAGCTGTGGCATGATGGGTTGCTGATGCAGATTGGGACTATGCCAGGAACTTGGTGTCTGTGTCTCTGTGTTTAACTTGCTGTAGTCCTGACTCTCTGAGCTCAAGGCTGACTGGAAGGAAAGTTCTCTGGTGACAAACATCAGCTGCAGGTGAAAGGGATGTGATCGGGATCAGGACTATGACAGCTGCAAAGGGCCAAAGCTCTCTGCCCATTTTGTTATGATATTGATCCGGGTCTGGATCCGGATCCAGATCTTTTCCCCATGCAAACTGCTTATTCAACAAGAATAGCGTGTGTGCGCATGTGTGCGCGCGCACACACACACACACACACACACACAAGCTGGGACAGTGGAGTGTAGGACTTTAATTTCCCACTGTGTTCTCAGAATTATCTAATGGATTTATATCCCCTCCTTCTCCCAATATGGGCTCCAAAGCAGCTTACCATATTAAAACAAAATAGCTTAAACCATATGTGGTTAAAAAAAAAAGGCTTTAAAAGCGCTAAGCAATCAGTCCAATTGAAACAGTAATGTAATACAATTAAAAACACATATTACATATTAAAACAGTTGCATTGCACATTCTTCTACCCCAACCAGCTAAAGGCTGGAAGACTGTTTGAACAAGAACATCTTTGCCTGCTAGCAAGAAGAGAACAGTGAGGCAGTGGTGTCCCCATCCAGGGCTCTCTCTCACCTTCGCTGTGTGGGGGCTGCTGGGGAGAGGGCAGCCTCAGCTCATTCCTTTGCTGTGCCTGAGGTCTTCTTGTGAAGAAGTTTTCCCTGCTGTGGCAAACGGTGGAGGTCTCATCATGAAGAGGCCTCTTCCCCATGGCAAAGCAGGGAGAAGTGAGCTGAGGCCTTTCCTTAGCCATGGTGGTGGAGGTCTTCTCATGAGGAAGCCTCCCTCATTGTGGCAAGCAGGGAGGGGCACATTGGGTGGGAAGAGGGGCCACTGGTTGTCACCCTTCTTTTGAGGTTTCACCTGGTGCGGGCTGCACTCCCTATCCCATAGTTATGCCAATCCTTTAGTGATGCCAATGCAGAGAAGGGGGACAATGGTGCTTCCTTTGGTAGGGAATTCAATAGCCTAGGAGTTGCTACCAATAAGGCTCTCTGCTGGGCCCTTGTGAGAAGATCCTGTGAGGGTGGTGGATGGAGAGAAAGCCTTCCTCCAAAAATTGTACAGCTGTCTCTGTCTTATCCAAAATGCTTGGGACCAGAAGTGTTTGGATTTTTTTGGAGTTTGGAATATTTGCATATACATAATGAGATATCTTGGCGATGAGACCCAAGTCTAAACATGAAAATCATTTATGGTATAAATTCATTTATAGATGCATGAAACAACGCTTGTGTATAGTGAGCCATCAGAAAGCAAAAGTGTCACTATCTCAGCCACCCATGTGAACAATTGTGGAATATTTTGTAATTTGGAGATTCAGGCTGTATAAACGTAGGCAGGTTCATATGCAGAGATACAGCCTTTCAGTCTTGGCTTAAGAAGCATAGGGCTTTGAATTATGC